ATTGAATTGAAGTTCAATATGGGAAAAAAGTCAGAATTTGGAGATTAAAGTCAGAATTGTGTCGTTTTTCCCATAATAATAAAAAAAAAGTAAACTTTTTTTCCCCAGTGGCCCTAATCTTCTTCTGTATTTGGCAATTATATATTAGTTTAACGGTCAACTCAACAGGGCTTTAAGCAAACATTTAGCATCTATTTAGTTTTACTTATGAGTGATGCTAAAATTGTCTGCTAAGAATATCGTTTATGAAATTACTTTCATTCATGAATGTTCCTGTGTTTCCTGCAGCCATGGCGTCCTCCGGCCTCCTTTTGCTGCTGTTGGTGTCGTCTTCCTTCCTGGTCTGCAGCCTGAGCGCCCCTCAGCCCTCCGACCTGCAGGAAACCCACGCTCTGCAGAAGAGAGGCCAGATCGCAAAGACAACCAAGACAGCAGCAGAATACCTTCTGATGATTGCAACTTCAGCAAAACCCTTTATTGGTCTGATACCAGAGGCTGGGGGTTATTTAACTGCTATTATTGATTTTGCAAATGATGTTTCTGGAAACAGTCCAGAAAGCAAGCTTCTAAATTTTCTTGAGAAGGAATTTGCCAATCTAAACTTAAAGATTGATGAAAACCAGAAGCAACTGAAATGGCACATTTGGGCAAGTAGTAATTATGGGAAACTGCAGGGAAAAATAACTGATGGATATAATAAACTACAGGAGTTGTTGAAAGATTGTAAAAAGCCGTGTCTTAAAACTCTGAAGGATCAAGGCAAAGAACCAGTAATACAACAGTACTTTGGTAAGGCTGAAAAGTATGTAGATAGCCTGCATGGACTTGTAATAAAATCAGGTAGCCACCTTGCTGACTATGAAAAGCTTTTAACAGATCATGTCAGATGTAATGAAAAAAGCATCAAAGCCTTCGCTGCCATTAATGCAGCCCTCATGCATGAGGCCATCACCATGACCCATTTCTATTACCGCTTTAAAAATATCAAAGATGCAAATCTTGAAGACAGACTGGCTAAGAAAGCACGAGAAATATCTGAAGCTATGTTCAAAATTCAAGTAAACTGCATGTCAGACCCAGATCCTTATGTTAAACTGAATGTTGAGGAACGCATTGATGATTCACAGGACCGCAAAGTTCTGGCAGAAAATATCAGGAAGTATTTAGATACGATTTATTATCGCTATGACTGGATTGTCGTTGCCTTTCTGAAAGATGATGAAGAGCATAAAAATAGGTTCAATAAATGGAGAAAAAAACACTTTCTGACAGGATTTAGTGAAACGAGCAAAGGAAAAACCAGCGTGGCTTTTGCCAAACAGGCTAAAGGGAACCATAAGAAAACAACCGAGGTAACAGATGTCCTCAAAAAATGCTATAATAAAGTAGTGAGCTGTGATAAAGTTACAAGAACATTAGAGAGCTGTAAAGAGCAGGTGGGTAATGCTAAATTAAAGGACACGTACTCAGTCATCCATGCTTACTTTAAAAAACACAGCCATAAACATGAGAGTGTTCTTTCTCTAGATGCAGCTGAAGCTCCTTCAGCAGACGAGTTTAATCCTGACGTGGATCAGCCAATCCCTTACACTTATACAGGGAAATGCAGCTTCAATATAGTTGGAAAACTTGATGGTCCTACCAGTGGAAAGTTCAGAGTTCTGATTAAAAGTGATGAAGAGCGGATGAAGGTGGATCCCTGTAAGAATGTTGACTGTGGTGAAAAGGAAAAGAGAGGAAAGTGTGTGGAGGTGAAAAGCGCCCGCATCGGACTGTGTGAATGTCACGAAAAATATTATGGGGAGAGATGTGAGGAGAGTCTGGAGGACTACAAGAAAAGCTTGGCTAGTATAGAAATATAATTTGCATTATAGAACAAGAACTACAAGAAAACCATAAATGAACTCCTCTGATATCCCAATAGTCCATGTTTCACTTTAAAACAGGCATCCTGAAGGAGTTTTAGAGGTTTCCCTGCTTTATCACAGCCGGTTCTGATTATTGCTGTTCAGTTAAAATCAGCTGTGCTGAAGCAGGAAACCTCTAAAATATGCAGCCCAAGATGACCGACTTTGGGGATTCCTGGGTTACTCCAGTAACCCAGGAATCAGTTCAACACAGTTTAGATTCAGCATTTCTGCTGTTTAGGATTTTTTTATTTTATAATTTGTTGTTTAAAAAATAGGGATGCACGATATAATCGGCCCCCTATCGGTATCGGCCTTAAAACTAAATATCGGACATCGTCTACCCGACC